ACTGAGTGTGTGAATATATATATATATATATATATATATATATATTGAGAGAGAGAGAGAGAGAGAGAGAGAGAGAGAGAGAGAGAGAGAGAGAGAGAGAGAGAGAGAGATTGACAGACATGCAAATGGACAGAGAGAATGTCGACGCATAGGTAGATAGACAGTTGACAAACAGGAAGGCAGATAAGCAGACATTCAGACAGGGAGACAGACAGACATCATCGTTGTGTCCGTGTGCCTGTGTTTAAGTCTGTGTCAGTCACCTGCTATAGAGCTGATGTTGATGATTCGACCGCCACGTCCCCCTTGATCTTTCCTCATGTGTTCTATGGCCAACTGCGTCCCAAACACCACTGACGTCTGCAGAAATATACACACGACATTTCAACAGACACCTCAGTCAGTAAGCCGCAGTAAAGTGGGCTCTATCTTTTATTTTATAATGGCTTCTTCTTCTTCTTCCTCTTCTTCTTTTTCTTCCTCTTCTTCCTCTTCTTCTTTTTCTTCTTCTTCTTCTTCTTCTTTTTCATCTTCTTCTTCTTTTTCTTCTTCTTCTTCTTCTTCTTCTTCTTCTTCTTCTTCTTCTTCTTCTTTTGCTTCTTATTATTATTATTATTATTATTATTATTATTATTATTATTATTATGCTTTTTTTCTTCTTTCTTCTTCTTCTTCTTCTTCTTCTTCTTCTTCTTCTTCTTCTTCTTCTTCTTCTTCTTCTTTTTCTTCTTCTTCTTCTTCTTTTCTTCTTTTTCTTTTGCTTCTTCTTCTTTTTCTTCTTCTTCTTCTTTTTCTGCTTTTTTCTTTTTCTTCTTCTTCTTCTTCTTCTTCTTCTTCTTCTTCTTCTTCTTCTTCTTCTTCTTCTTCTTCTTCTTTTTCTTCTTCTTCTTCTTCTTCTGCTTTCTTCTTCTTCTTCTTCTTCTTCTTCTCCTCCTCCTCCTCCTCCTCCTTCTTTTTCGTCTTTACGTTCGGTTTCGTATGCTAAGGTCAGTCAGATGGGTTGCCTCTATGAACTCGCAGGTCTTTCATGGTTCCCAAAAGCTTGCTACGCATACTTTGCTCATGAGGCCATGTTTTTTTTTTTTCCAATTTGTAAGTAGAGTGGACAGATCTGAAGAATGTGCTCAGGTATTTGAGATTCCGTCTGACAGGCACACTCTGTGGGGACAGTACAATCGTTATTTTATGCATGTGGTAGTTGAGCCTGCAGATGAGGTGCTTTAGTTTGTTACGGTCGTATTCAAATGCTGTCGTCTTTAAGCTCCTGGGAAATGGGGGGAGGGAGAGGCGGGGGGGGGGGGTGTGCTAAAATTAATATTGTGAGGCTTGTTCAGCTGTAGAGCCATGCTGGGATCATTTAATACAGAAGTGTCTCGGTTTTTCCCCACTAACAGAGTCCGTAAGTCTCTCGAGAACTGTTTCGTCCCTCTCATCTCATGGGCGTCAATTCATCTAAAGGAATTTAACATCCAACAGTTTTTTCTAATATCTTTGAGTTACGGTCCTTGTTTCTCGCTGTGTTTTCTGGCCAGTATTTTTTTTTTTTCAGGTGGCAGCAAGCGTGTAAGATCTACTTCCGGTGGAAACATACATGCCAGAGCTACTGACCAGCAGAAATGCCATTTATGTTGGAGATAGATCAGTTAAGCGATTTTGTGTATTCGTGTTCAGACATAGTTGTGTGTGTGTGTGTGTATTCTAGCTGCAACGCTCACTTGTCGTTTGTGATATTGTGAAGCTCAGTGGTTCTACTTTTCGTTTTGTTTGAAATCGTTTCATGGTATCAAATAATATTGTCGCCATTATTAGGAAATGAACTCCAGGCCACTGTCTTAGTACACTAGTACTTTAGTGACAAGATTACCAACGTTCTTAAGTGTAGCAACAGAGATCATAAAAAAAGAAGGTATAAAAAACGTATTTCTGAAAGGTTACCTACAACATTGATGTTAATCATGAGCTGCCAGCTGCCCTCGTTCATGATGCCAGCGTTGTTGACCATAATATCTATATGGCCAAACTCGGACACCGCCTGGGTAAATGCGTCTGTAACACACACACAAAACACAAAGGCATGGGCGGTTAACTCTCTGAATGCCAAGTAACGCATGGTGGGTGACGGCCTCGTATCAAATGCCCAAATGAATCTCAGACATTCCGTAATGTGTTTATTTTCATCTTGTTACAGCATATTGTACCATCTAGCCACTTCAACTCTGTGTAATTATTGCACTTAATGAAATTAAAGCTTTGTAAAAGGCTTTTTGTAGTCCCTTCTTGAACATCTGCTGCTAAAACTTCTGGTACTGAAAGTGTTGGAAGAGTAACAGTCTGACAGTAATTTCAGTACAATATTGTCTGACAATAGCCCCAATACAACAATACTGGCAGTAACTTCAGTACGTGTCCTGTACTTATTATCATAAAATCTTTCTGGCACGCATTGGACTTACAAGTCACCTCCAGGCTCACAAAACATTCAGTTAATGACGGATGGAAGCAAGAGTGGTCCTCATCACTTGTGACTGACGAACAACACACAACATTGTCTTACAGTAACTTCAATACAACATTGTCTTACAGTAACTTCAATACAACATTGTCTTACAGTAACTTCAATACAACATTGTCTTACAGTAACTTCAATACATTGTCTGATAGTAACATGAGCATGTTAAGTTATGTCTTTCTTCTCGCTCTTTCTCTCTCTCTCTGTCTCTCTCTCTCTCTCAAACATACACACACACACGCGCGCGCGCACACACAATACACATGCCTCTCTGCAACTGAAACTGCTTTGGCCCAGTAAACATAGCAGCGGCTTAGACCGAACAATAATGGAAAGCGTCATTGATGGAAGACGATGCAAAGGCCAGCAAGATGGACATAAGATATTAATATTATTATTATCAAAGACTTCTTCTTCTGCTTTCAGCTGAAGATGTAGATGTGTTCTGCCCGTTTACAAAATGGCTGCGATATTTGCAACTTTAGGTAGAAATATCAGACTCCTGTGGGTACTTGTTTCTCTAGCTAGCCTTCTGTTTTTGAAGACAGAAATCCACGAAGCAGAACCGGCGAAGGACAGAAGTAGCAGCAACTAGTGATAAGAGCGACGTGCTGCAAACGACCTGCTACATGACGTGTCCTAGTCGTGGCCTCAAAGAGTCCCCGGTGCTTGAAGTTTTCAAAAATTTCTTACCTTGAAACTGTTGGTGATTTGTGACATCAAAAGCAGCAAATCTGACATTTTTGGCGCCATATTTTTCCTGCAATTCTTTCAAAGTCTCTGCACCCATGACTGCGTTCACGTCTCCAAAGAAAACCTGGATAGGAATAAGTTATGCATAATTAAAGCCAGTGTAAATAATATTTTTGAGCTGAAATGCTATAGAAAGATTCTCAGAATATCTTAGACAAAGAAGAGGAGAAATACTGACATCTTGAAAGATCTAAACATCAAGGAAGATTGGCTAAAAAACAGCATCCTGTCTCGGAAGCTAACATATTTGGGTCATAACAAGCGCCACGACGGATGGGGGAAAAAAACTATAGCAGAAGGCATGGTACCAGGAAGGCGGGCAGGGACCGACCAACACGAAGATGGGCACAGGATATAAGTGACTCCTTAAGTATGAAAGTGCATGAGGAGGGAGAGCTGGCGAGAGACCGAGTTTCTTTCAGGCATATCGTGATACGAGCGACGTTCTGCAAAAGGACCTGCTACTTGATGATGATGTAACAAATATATAAATCAGACATACTGAACACAGCAAGTCTAAATCTTACTCAGGCAGAGCTTTTTGAAAACAAAATGCTTGCAAATGATTATATTTCATTCAACGAACAAGGTGAGCTTCCGGCGGCCATGAAACAGACACAATATCTCGGAAGAAACTATTCGCATTTCAGTTGAAATTATTCAGTTTTGTGCTTTATTTTATGTTGATGTAACTCTGTAGTAACGCACCTGATGACATACAGCGAAATATGCCTAGCAATAAATTGTGTAATGTATTGTTCGTATCCGCATTATTTAAATTCATTACGGAAAAAACATTGTTTTGAAAACATGTTTACACAGACTAAACCACATGCGATTTGAAGACCTGAAAGTGTAAATAAACAAACGAATATATTAAGGTAATTCGCTGGATCGAAACAGAAAACATGTGGATTTGTTAGATCCCACCCTCGTCAATCAGCAGTTCTTTTACACGACGTCGCGCTCTTCACAGCACGCCTGCCATTTTCTTCTCTAGTTCTTGGCTGACTGACTGACTTTCTACCCCACTAGGACATCACACAAGCGATAAACATCCGATGACACAAAGTGCCACCATGTTGATGAGGATCGCCGTGGAGAGGTCCCAGAAACCGCGTTCAGACAATTGGCCATATTTATGGCCTGCCTATATTGCGGCCCCCGGCAAAAGCCAGAGTGGGGCTTCAAATAGCCAGAAATTACGTTCTAAAAAGGACGTAAAGAAAAATGTATCATGAGCTAGTTGTTCAGCCTGGTGTGATTGTAGAGCCAATGCATCTCCAGCGTCTTGTATCCAACTTTGCGGAGTTCGGTCTATGCCTCGTTTTCAGGATACTGCACTCCCATCAGCCGTCTCGTTAGGCCACGGTGATGCTCAATATGAGAGGAGGCTGTTTCTGAGCTAATTCTCCTCGATGTTCATATCAGATAGGATGTGGGTGAAATCTACTGGAGGACTCATTCTCCCACCCCACCTTTAATAGTTGTAGAAGGCTCAATGTAACTGGCCCCCCCCCCCCCATTTTTGTTCCGGCGCCCCTGCAAGAGGCGACAGATAGTGCTTGAAATCCTTTTCAGCCAACCTTTATTGTAAAGACGGCACCTGATCAATAGACAACTACAGCAAGGTTTGTATACTCACTTGTGCCCCCTTCTCAAGCAGAGCTTCCGTGTAGGCTTTGCCAAGACCTTGAGCTCCGCCAGTTATGAAGACAACTTTCCCGGAGAGCTCCATGTTTATGTTGTAAATTCTGAAGTATGTTTTTTTCCCCCCGACTGTCTCTATATTCAAACGAATACGTTAGAACACGGTACTGGATTAAATTGTTATACGGGATACAAAATTTGTTCCGCATGTATATATATTCACACACACGAACAGACTAAGAGAATTTGTTTAAACTTGTTTTGTTTATACACACGCTGGTAAATTTATAGCTAAAGTGTGTCCCATCATTTTTGTAATCTTTACTCGGTCGCGTCACGTAGTACTTGATAAAAATTAAGTAACGAGTTTTTCACAAAGTTCTTCATTGTATGACAAACCTTTAACTCAAGAGGAAAGAAAGATAGCCTGTGAGGGGCGTATGATTATTATTATAATTTTTTTTTTTTTTTTTAGTATCCAGAAGCCATGAGTTGTTAACCTTTAGGCTAGGTATTATGGATATCGAAACCCTTTGGCCTTGATTCCATGATAAATACCGTAAATCTGGGAGAAATGTGAACCCGGACCACAAGGTGTTCGTCACCCGGTCACCGCGCAATCCGGTTTAGCCAACTACGCTAGCGAGCCTGGCGTATGATTATTTTAAATTAGCTTTGGATATCTCAAAATTGTGTTCGTCGGCATCTTCTGATCTTGACCTTCAAAACAAATTAGAGACTGGCAAAATTAGCCCCAAAATATTAAATGTCAAATATTTAAAACACGTGGGTTTCGTATTCGAGCGCTGGACCTCGAGGCCGGAAGGCAGCGTCCAGCTCCTACGATACTGCAGCTGCCGAATATGTTGATGTGAACGAGACAAATAGTATAGATTTATTAACTAAGCCTGGACCAAACCGTAGACAACCCCCCCCCCCTCCCTCTTCCCCCCCCCCTCCCCCACATACGAAAAGTGTCAAGGCAGCTAATTGGTTCTCTAACTATATACAGAAGTTTTATATATATATATATATATATATATATATATATATATATATATATATATATATATATTTATATATATATATATAACATTAAATATATTATTATATTGATTTGCAATTCGGCATGTAATAATTATTTTATTATCTAATTATCATTGTTTGTTATCAATCAGACAATAAGTCGTGATCTAGACATTCAGGTCTTTCATCCCGAGTGGATCAGTCACAATTAGGATGGTTTGAAAGTGTATGCAGGATGGAAGAGAATACGGTAGGTATACAAAGCCAAGAACAAAGGAACCACACCTCCAGGAAGACCCCGGGCTCGCTGGGAAGACTATCTGACAATCCCTGATTGACAGAGAACTGGAATGAAACAAAGCCAAAAAGAAAACTGCTGATAGACAAGTTGAGCTATCTCTAAGGCTAGCCTTTCCGCCCCAGGGTAGAATACGATAGACTGAGTGTCAAGGACCTGGAATCTATATTCTAGGGCTCGATGTATGGCCCCGTGACAGAAACACTAAACCAGAACACACTCAAAACACACACATATGGAGCGCACACGTCATCTTTGATGACCAAAGAACAACATAACCTACAACAACCTCCACAGTTATGGACAGTCCCTTATCCGAAACTCCCGGGCAGTGCCAGTAGTTATATTTTAAATATTATTTACCTATCCACCCCGAGCCATTCCCATGGATATACCAGAGGACACGATTCCACCTCCTGTAGTTCAGCGCTAACTAGGCTTCAATCTTCGCCATGCGAGACTCAGTGGCACATGCAGGGTGAGTGGTTCAAATATTAGCGGACAATGTCAACGACAGCACAAGACGCAGACCAATAAACCCAGGGACAAGAACACCTACCTAAACATGGTACAACCCCAACACAGCGGTCTTAGCATACTACAAGCACACGAGGAATAAAAACAGCTAACCAACATATATGACGACAACGTTAACACAACCTATCTGTCAATTCCTAACAAAAAAAAATACAATCACGTCTCAAAAATGTCTTCATCCTCGCACGTCCATTCTAACCGTTCTCTTTTCCCCGTTCAGCTCCGGGTCAAACGTGTACGTTGCACCAGTGTTCACGCATCTCGGGTTTTCCCCGTATCATCAAATCAACTGGCTGAGCGCTGGTGCACTTTTTGGTCCGTCAAACACCAACATGCAGTTACACGTCGTATTGTCTATACTCTGACCCACAGGGCTATGACAGTGAGCATTGTTTTTATTATTAATGCGCATTTAATTAAGGTTTAAGCCACTTTAGCCACACCCCTTAACCATTAAACATTAACCATCACACCCCCGCCCCCCTCCAGATTTCTTAGTAGTTTCGTGTCTGCCCCCAGGCCGTCTTGGTAGGCAGCGCACGAAGCATTATTCTCTTCATGGCTTCAGTCATTGGAGATGTGGCTAGGTAATCATGCTTCACAAATTGTCGCCGTTTTCGCCCAACAGAGGTGCTATTCGTATATTTTTTTTTTTTTTAAATATCCGGAAACCATGAGTTGTAAAACCTTTGGCTCGGTACTCTGGATATCACAACCCTTCGGCCTTGGTTCCATGATAGGTACCGTACATCTGGGAGGAATGTGGCTTTTCTGCCTACCCCCGGGCGTAAATCCGGACCACAAGGAGTTCGTCACCCGGTCGTCGCGAAGTCAGGTTTATCCAACTACGCTAGCGAGCCGGACCCCATTCGTACGTACTTTGTGCTATCAATGCCAGACATGGACTGTAATAGGGGGGGGGGAAGTTAACGAAAAATCACAAGATATGAGATGTGTAAAACATGCAGCGGGATTTTAAAAAAGAGCAGAACAGAGTCACTTTTGAAGAACTAAAACAATTTATAGGTATAGTGCCCACAAATTATTTCAATGAACATCAAAGAATCAAATGGTTCGGTCATCTGGTCAGAATGCAACAAAATAAGCCAGCAGCTAGAGCTGACTATAAGGCCGACCAAGAAAGATATGGATGGAGAGGTTAAAAGAGACACTGCAGAAATGCTGTGTGACAATAATATTAGCTAGGCAACCAGCAAAGAACAGGAAACTCCATCACATTCTCTTTACAACTCTTGACGACATAAACAGAGGACAGTCAAGAGGAAGAAGAAGACGCTGCAGTCCTCGAGACATCCCCACATGTTCTATGTCATTTTCAACAGACGATGTTGATAAGGTGTCATTGCTTTTTTGTGGGAAATATTCTCACACGGTAAATTAACGTGTTTATTAAACTATTTTCGCACCAGCCTATAATTTCTGTAACCCATTATATCCTGAAAACTTCTAGTTTACTGTAACCAGCGTGGTAATAGTCTATGTGGCTATAAGACGTCTGTGGGTGATGATAGTGGATGAAGGACTAGTTCTTAGGTGACCGGTTAGCGACTCAGCGTTCAACAGTCCACGGAGTTGCCTGCTAGAGAAGCATGGTAGACGAGTTGAGACTTAGGGATTTACTGAGGCAAGGACGGAGTTTACTTTGAAAGGTAGACTGGACAGAACTGGCAGAACGGAAGTGTTTCGGGGAGTTTGTCAGAGACTTGGACAAAGACATATGGTGTTTTGTCCGTTAGATGTTTGCGTGTTTGTCTTCAGTTAGTGACGGTTAGTCAGTGGTTTCATGCAACACTGACGGTATTTTAATTTTAGTGTTAGTAGACAGTGTAACGCGTGTGTTATAGAGAGATAGTTCATTGTGTTTAATTAGGTACTTAATTTATAACTTACCCCTGACGTCACGACAACGTCACGGAAGACATTGCCAATAAATTCTAGGGTGTTCAGGTTGTAGTTTCTCGCGATTTATCTACAGCCAAGTTTAGGGTTAGGGTTAGGGTTAGGGTTAGGATTAGAAGACACTAGATGAACACTCAACAACAACAAAAGCACCACACAACAGCACACTTGCACCCCTTGAAATAATGGACTGTCAGATCAGCTGTGGATTTCCCACGGGGATTTCCTGTTTGGGGTACGTTATAAATTAAGAACCTTTAATTATAGTGGTTTTCACCTAGGTACTTAGCTGTGTATGTTAGCTAGGGGGTTCGTGTAAGGGGCTTGTCTGGTTAAGTGTCGTTGGTCTGTCAATTCATATTAACCAAAGCCATTGTGACGTGACGCGTGGTTTAAATGTTTATGTTGTTGAGTAGGGATCTTCCTTTCAACACATTCTCTCCACTAGATAAACCGAACTAAAATCTGAGCTATGTTGCTCTCAGACAAAGTCCTGGATATCCAAGAAAACAGCCATATTGGCTCGTTGAGTATATTAACATTAGCTGAACTTGGTACCCACAAGAGAAAGCAAGGAATTTTAGATGTCTAACATACTAAATGAATTATTAGACAGGGCAAGTGATTCCTTCGTCATCTACCTTCTCCCGGTGTTATTATTAATAATTAAAGAATTATTATCATATTATTTGAGCCCCCACCAAATGTTATTCTATCCTAACAGTTTAATTAAACATGTAAGAACAGACATTTGGAATTTAACAAACTATGTAGTTTAAAACTTGACATACAGCTTTATTTACTACAATGAAATTCCCAGTTTGTTGATTTACACAAACAGTGACTGGTTAATGAAAGTGATACGCTTCAGCGAGACAAACAGCTCGGGGTTTAGAGTGGTATGATAATGATGATAAAAGGTTAACATAAAGGGGTTAACTCAACTTATAAGCCTCTGACAGCCGTGAGGAACTGTCAAGCTTGTCCAACTCTCCCTTGCCTGTTGTCTGCCTGTTTCAGCTTATTCTCCACTTCCTCCCCACCTCGTTCTCCACATCGTTCTCCACCTCGTTCTCCACCTCGTTCTCCCTAGTCTTACACTGACGTGTGAAACTCCGACCTCCCGGCTCCACAATGTCTAGCGTCTACTCAATTTACCTGTTCAAAAGGCCCCCCCCCCCCCCCCTCAGTCTCTACAGTCTGGTCAGGAGATAACATTCTGACACTGGCATGAGAATAGAATTCCTAGCTACAGTGTAAAGTTTTAGGTAATATTACCCAAGGTTCAGTCGCTTTGTCTGGACTAA